TGAGAAAACTGCCACGTTCAGAGAGCACCCAGGGCCCCACAGTTCAACCCTGAGCTGCAAATAATTGTGATGACCCAGGGCACAACACCGAGGCAATGCAGTCAGCTGGCAATTCAAACTGCCCTTTAATTGCCCCAAATTTTCCCCCAATGCTCCCACGTTTCTGGCAAGCCTCCAAACACAGGAACACACACACACACCTCCAGCCACCTCTGGCTGCAAGTAGTTTCACATACAGTCGGATTAGGAAAGGAATTTACTCAAGGCCATGGAGATAACAAGGAATGACACATACATCATAAACCTAACGCTTGCCTGAAGCAGTTTCCAAAAGGGAAGCCCAAATACAGTCCGAGATCTATTTTCCTGTCTCGTGCAAAGAGATTGCTGGATTTCACTTGAAACAGGCAGAATCAATTCCACGGATAAGTCATACGAAATTACTTTGTTCCAGGCGTCCTCAGGTCAGTAATTTACAGTTACTGCAGAAGTTCTTCTAGAATGCAGATTGCAATCTGGACCCATCGCATAGGTAAAAGGATAATCGATGTCTCCATTCTACCGAGCTCCTAACCCTCGTGGCTAGGATTCACGGAGAGATGATAGACTGGCACCTAACAGGATATCCCGTAATAAAAACACAAGTCGCTCCCAGTGGCCAGTTAGAATACAGATATAACCAGGTAACAACTAAAACTACATTTCCCAGAAGGCCACCCTTAAGGGGGGATAGCATTTTAACCCTTAAAATGCTACTTGCTCTACACATAGTTCTTAATTCCTAAGCTAGCTATGTACTCTGGCCAGATGGCCTGCAAATAGTTTCCCATACATCATAAACCTAAGAAGTCTGTGTGAACACACACGCCTGAGCAGTCTCAGAAGGGAGGTCAAAACACAGTCTGAGATCTATAAACATCCAAGCAACGTTGTCAGCCAGTCCAAGGGTCAGAGTGTCCGGGTTTCCAAGCAGAAGTCACAACACACAGAACAAGAGATCAGCAACAACACACACAAAACTCCAAGGAATCAGCGTTTGTTCCCGACAAATGCCTCTCCCCACAGTGTCTCCTTAAGTCTCAGTCTCCAGGTGTGCCTTGTGGAAAGGGGCGGGACGCTCTCCTCCCGAGTAGTTGAACCTGCCTGCATTGTTCCATCCTTCTCTCCACTCTCCATGCTCTAGGACAGTGGTGGCGAACCTACGGCACGCGTGCCAGAGGCGGCACTCAGAGCCCTCTCTGTTGGCACGCGTGCCGCCACCAGCAGCAGGTCCATCAGGCCGCCACCACCGCCCAGAGCAGGAGCTCTGCCCAGCACAAAGGAGGTGAAGCGGCCGACTAGCAAGCTCGAGTAGAGGTGGTAGAGCAGAGGTCACCAACCATTGTCAATTGGTGGACTGGAAGAAAAGGGAGGGGGAAGTATTTTACATGTGCGTGTGCACGCACGGGGTCGTGAGTATGCATGCGCTACAAATGAGGCGGGGCTAGTGCCTGCATGATACTCACTAGCCCTGCCCCATTCTTGCTTGGTGCAGCGTCTTGTATCTGCACCCCGCGGCGCAGCGGTGGCCGTTTTTGCGCCTTGCAGCACGGTGGCCCATTTTTGCGCCTCTGGTTTTTGCATGCCCCCCCTGAGGGCACCACAATGCTGATGGGCCCCTGGCACTTTGCGATAAATAAGTGGGCTTTGGGTTGCGGTTTAGGCACTCGGTCTCTAAAAGGTTCGCCATCACTGCTCTAGGATCAGGTGAGGGTGGCCCTTGCTCCTCGCCTGAACTCTGCCTCTCCTGTTCCTCCTGTCCCAATCCTGAAGGGTCCTGGCCTGCCTCGGCCTGCTCTTCCCCACAGTCCTCTGAAGCCACGGACACCCCTCCCTCGACCTCCATAGGGTCCCCTTCCAGCTCATTTTCCTCCGCAGATTCAGGCTCCGGACGGAGACATGACAAATATTGTCTTCTGTCCTTTTTTTAGGAAAATCATGGATTCGGGCAAGCTGGATTTCTACGAGCACACCAAAGTTTGCTCGAACACCTGTCGCAGCACTAAAATCGACCTGACCGGAGCCAGGGTGTCCCTCAGCAGCCAGACTTCATCAGAGTACACCCCTCTCACTCCGGCCTCCGCGGATGGTATGTAAGAGAAGCAAAACCCGAGGACAGACTGCCCTCGAGACCCCGGAAGGGCAGTTTTCATTCCCACCCTTTTCTTTACAAAACCGCCGAGTTCTTTTTTCTCCCTAAAGCGGTTCAAACCTCTGTAGATCTTCAGCCGTCAACGTCAGAAATGGCTGCCCGATCTATGTGCCTGCTGCGGTTTGCTGGTCATTCAGCAGCCTCGTCTGTCAGAACCAGCAGCTCGGCCACCGGAAGGTGGGAGGACTTCCACTCCCAGAATTCCCAGAGTGGGGAACTCTGGGAGTTGAAGTCCACCCATCTCCAAGTCCTCGAGGTTGAGAAACACTGGTCTGAACCCTTTTCAGTGCCAGCTGACGCATTCAAATACTCTTGGCTTTACCAGTTTCCTTCCTCAGCCACGTTTGGGGCATTTTAAACATTCATAGGAGGTAAAAGGAGAAACAGGAGTGTGCCAAGAGCTTCCATCTAGTTTTTCAGAGCCTGCGAACGGCTTTTTGATTCATTGTACACGTGACACATTAACTCGGGGAACTTCAATAGGCTTGGTTCTCTATCTGTAAGGTTTAATTTTGGCTACTTTTTATCTCACTCCTTAACACAGACATGTCAAACACAAGGCCCGGGGGCTGGATACGGCCCGCAAAGTGGTTTCATGTGGCCCGCAAAGCCATCCTGGAAAGAGTGAGGGAACGGCCCCCGCTGCCTTGGCCCTGGCCCAGGCCGGCAGGGAGCCAATGTACAATTTTGTGGTGGCCATCTAGGCTGAAACGCATTCAGTCTTAGGTCCACAAGGCCGTCTGGAAACAGCGAGGAACTGGCCTCTGCTGTGTCGGGCCCCCCTGGATGCATGCTGGGGAGGTATCACCCTTTGTGAGGAATGAAGAAATGGACCATGCCTTAGCGCCTGCCCCGGTCCCACCCCCTTCTGCCAGAGACCCTCAGATCTGTCCCACTCCTGCCCAGGCCCCCACAGGCACCCGTGACGCAAACGATGTAGACCTGGCCATGCCCACCCAGTAGGCCACACCCACTCCATCCATGCCCACCCAGTAAGCCGCACCCACCCTGGCCACACACACCGCCCCCCCCGAGGGCAATCGCAATGCTGATGCGGCCCTCAATGAAATTGAGTTTGACACCCCTGCCAGATCAGTGCCGTCTTCCAAATCTGACTAATGATGATTAAGTTAAATATGTCATATAGCAATATGTCATATTTTCCTTTTACGGTTCCTTGCCTGCATTATTTGCAGTTTCTGACAGGTGCCAGTTTCAAAGGCATCAAGATTTCCCTGCATCTAGTCAGTCTTTTCTAGTGCGGGGTGATGATGCGATGTAATCGCCTTGTAATAAGCCGCAACTTAACATTCCACGTTAGCATGAAGTAATACCCCTGCGCAGCGGCTGAAAATGCTTTGGACCTTGTATGTGGAGAGCCTCTTGCTAATACCTATTAAGGCAGCTCAACCTTTGTCCCTCTTTTCCATTCGCCTATATAGAGAGGTCACACGGCTATAAATTCCCTAGCAAAGGCTAGCTTGATTTTTAAGGCCGCGGTGTCTCCTTTTTCAGGGTCACGTGGAAGCCTTAAAAAATAACCTACTTTGAATAGCCACAGAAAGAAACTTAACTTTCACGTGAGGTCCGATGCAATCCTTCCAAATTGTTTTCAAAATCCGCACGGCTTAATTAAGCGTGACGTCAAAATCTTTTGAGCCTTTGAGTCCTGGTGTTAGAAATGTTTAATGGCGAACAGAGGGCCTTCTGATTTTTCACCAACCAATTGTGGAAACCTTTTGGGAAAAGTATACAGTAGAAACGCCACCTTTGGGTTAAGTTTCCACCCATTTTTCTTCTAATTTCCTTACAACTGTAGTCTTGTTCATTAAATAATACTATTTTGCATCGCTTTCTGGGCAACCAGTTAACTCTTTGCACCGTGACTTTAATTGTATGACGTTTTACAAGCTCACTAAATGAAAGAACACAAAAAAACCCAACCGACTTGATAGCCATCACATAATAACACACTGATCAATGTCCTCCTCTCAGCTTCAATACAGGACATCAATCACTGAATCCTACTGTGATCTGATTGGCTCATGGCCAAAACAAGATGACACCTGATTGGCTCTCTAAACGCTCATGCTCATGGGATACAATCAGATGAAGGAAAGCTACCTGAGATCAACCTAAGCAAGTTGTGCTTCCTTTTTCCGGTTATTTGGCTATAACTTTTCACAGAACACAGTACAGATAATTGAACAAACTTAGTTGCATTACATTCCTGATTAAATTGTCTTTCCATTTATATATAATTTTATGGTACTACTCCAAAGAAAAAGTGGTGTTATTAGCCATCAAACCTCAAAAATACACTTTTCCCAAAAGGTTTTCATAATTTTGGCCACTACTGTCTAGGAAAACTGTTCTTTATCAGAGTAAGAGAGTGAAGCCTTCCCGTGAGGTCAAATGATCATTCTTGCTCCGTTTTCATTGCAGTCAACGGATCTCCGGCCACCATCACCATAGAAACCGAGGATGCCGGCGAGTGGACCACTACTATTGGAGGTGAAGCTCGTAGGGTTTGCTCTTTGACCTTCCCTCAGGGCATTTTGTGCAAAACCTGAAAGGCTTTGAAGCAAAAAAAAAAAAAAAAAAAGCCAGATGTGTCAACAGCTGGGTCATCTTTCTGTACGCATGGCTACAGATCAGCGGAAGAACCCTTGAGGTCAAGTTTTGAGGTCACGTTTTTGACACGCCTTAAGTCAGTGTTTCTCAACCTTGACAATTTTAAGGCATGTGGACTTCAACTCCCAGAATTCCACAGCCAGCATTGCTGGCTGTGGAATTCTGGGAGTTGAAGTCCACATGCCTTAAAATTGTCAAGGTTGAGAAACACTGTCTTAAGTGGAATGGAAAAAGACTCCTGTCCAGAGTACTGAAAAGATGTTGATAGCTGGGGAATCTTTTTGAATGGGGGGAGATCAATGACTTAATAATAATAATAATAGTAATAACAACAACAACTTCCGGTGTTGGAGCATTCACAGCTTCTGAAGGCAGGTTGTTCCACTGGTTAATTGTCCTGTCGGAAAATTTCTCCTTTAGTTTCCATCCGTTGCTTCTTGTCCTGCCTTCTGGTGCTTTGGAGAATAGCTTGACTCCCTCTTCTCCCACCAATTCTTGCTTGCAGGCAAATGATATTTCTTGCAGATCTTCCAATGCACCATTGTTGTCGTTTTGTCGTGCGGTTATTTGTGGTTGGTTTCAGTATTACGGAATAGAATAACAAGAGTTGGAAGGGACCTTGGAGGTCATCTAGTCCAACCCCCTGCCCAGGCAGGAAACCCTATACCCTTTCAGACAAATGGCTGTCCAGTCTCTTCTTAAAAACTTCCCATGTTGGAGCATTCACCGCTTCTGGAGGCAGGTTGTTCCACTGGTTAATTGTTCTAACTGTCAGGAAGTTTCTCCTCAGTTCTAGGTTGCTTCTCTCCTTGATCAGTTTCCATCCGTTGCTTCTTGTCCTGCCTTCAGGCGCTTTGGAGAATAGCTTGACTCCCTCTTCTTTGGGGCAGCCCCTGAGATATTGGAAGACGGCTATCATGTCCCCCCTTATGTCTATATGAGAATGCTAGAGATCAGCCTAGCATCCTCATATAGACATAAGCAAACTTGAATCCAACCCCCCTTGAATTCCAGTGACCCTTGTCTAACTCCAAGCAGGGGCTAACCACGAGTTGAGAAGATTAATGTCAGGAGTGGAAGATCGGGTCCAATTAAACTGATTTGTTGCTAAAAAGCCAATGCTCAACTCACGATTAGCATCTGCTTGGGGTTAGATAAGGGTCCATGGAACTCTGCACATGTGGGGCACTCGATCAGCAACCCACATTTATGGCCACTGGCTGTGTCCCATCTTCACATCATTGCGGCCTTGTAATTTTGGGGCCAAAAAGTCCCATAGTAAGCCGCAGTTTCGTTTTACGACAAAAAAGATTGTAAAAATAGAAGATAAGTCACACAACGATCCACTTAATGCTTGTCATGACTTCACAATGTACCATTAGTGGAACATGATTGTGGGGCACATGAGGAGGCCTCTAGTTGGGTTCCCTCAGCTACCTATCAAGGCATCTGTGGAGATTGTCAGTCATCCAGGTGTCCCGGTGGTCCCAAAAAGGTGCTTTTTCAAGAGGCAACTGGACGGTCCTGGTTTTGTGCTGGACGACGTTTCGCTCTTCATCTGAGAAGCTGCTTCATTTCTGACTGAATGGTGGGGAAACGGAAGGATGTATGTTCCTGGCGGTCCTCTGGTCGTTTGTCCTCTTTCTGAGAGTCGTTGAGGCCACTTGGAGGCTTATCTGTGCCCTTGGGGTCACCTGAATCAGTGCAGACAGGTGTGGAACCTTCCTGGAAGCGCCGAAAGGACCCCGTCGTAAACAGGAGATAGGTGGGGTCGTGTCCCGCCCCCTCCGTTGAGAGCGGGCTGTTCAATTTTAACCCTGATGGCCTCTTCGGCCCCTCTTTCAGACCAGCGTTCCTCTCCATCCAGAATGTGGACTTGGCGGTCTTCAAAACAGAGAGCGAACCGCCGGCCTTCAGAACGCTAACAACGCAACACAGACTCATCCCCATCCCCCTGCGCCCGTCTTCAACCGCGAAGGGACCCAGGGCAGAAAAACATCCTGCCGCCAAGAAGGCTCCACACCCATTTGCACCACACTCAGGTGACCCCGAGGACACAGGTCAACCTCCAGGTGGCCTCAACGACTCTCCAAAACAGTGGTGGCGAACCTATGGCATGCGTGCCAGAGGTGGCACTCAGAGCCCTCTCTGTGGGCACGGGCGCCATGCCCCGGAGATGGCAACTGCCCCTCTTCAACAAGCCGCCCATTAATTCGCCGAGGTCCCACATGGCCAGATGTATCCCAGCACCCATGCGCTCGCTGGCCTTTGTGTGCGGGGTCTGATGGTGTCAGGCAGCAGCCGCCCCTGCCTCGCCTTGCCCTGCAACAATGGCACCCCCGCCCTGCCTCACCTTGCCTCACCCCACAGGACAAGCCTCTTGCCCACCGCCCCACCTGCCAAAGACCCCCTGGATCTCCCCCATCCCTGTCTGGCCCCTACGAGCAGCATCGAGGCGATCACGCCCACCTTGGCCACACCCACCCAATCTGCCATGACCACCACAGCCACGCCCACCCAGTGGGCCACGCCCACCTGGCACCCGGCGATAAATTAGTGGGTTTTGAGTTGCAGTTTGGGCACTCGGTCTCTAAAAGGTTCCCCATCACTGATCTAAAAGAAGGCAAATGACCAGCGGTCCGCAAGGACTACCAACCCTTCCATCCTCCGCCATTCGGTCGGAACCGAAGAAGCTTCTTGGACGGGGAGCGAAACGCCTTCCAGGGGAAAAAAACAAAATCCAGTTGGGTTGTCAAAAGCCGTCTCTCCTTTTTCTTCAGAGGACGCCTTTGCATTCTGGCAAGGGCTGAAGGACGCCGGGTTGCTTGAAGAAGTGGTGCAGGAGTTCAGGATGGAATTCACGGAAGCGGTGAGGGGCCTGCAGCAGAGGATCCAGGAGCTGCCTTTACAGCTGAACGGTGAGGAGCAGACACCGCAGTGCTTCCCCTGGGAGAAAGAGGATCTCACAGCTTCTTTTTTTTTTTTTAATTGAAAATTTTATAACATTTTACAATATAAATCCCTCCCTCAAACCAACCCTTCCGCCCCCCTCCCCCCCCACTTCCCAGAGCCAATCACAGGAATAATAATGAAATAATCATACTCTAAATAATCTTAAACAACTATAAAAATATTAAATCTATAATCTCCTTTAACTCTATCTGAAAACTGTTAAAATAACAAATCTATAACCTCCTTTAACGCTCTTTTCAACAGATATATAATTAATAAACACGATAATAATAATATCATATTAATAGTTAAAATTAAAAATAAGTACTCTAAAATTCAATTAAGATTCACTTAAACACAATGATATTAATATCATTTTAAGAAATAAAAAATAAAACTATCATTTAAGCAACAATAACATTCTAAACTTCACTAAAAAAAAACCACTCTTTTAGACCCATATCCAGTTATTAAACACACTAATAATAACATCATACTAACATTTAAAAATAATAATAAGTAAACTGTTATAAACAACAATAATAGTCTAAAATTCATAATCTACTCTATTATTAACATAATAAATTGCTCCCTAAACAAAATCAATCAAAGAAAAGAAAAGAAAAGAAAAAAAACATCCTTCCACAGCCTTATTCATTCTTCTTGCAGTTAGATTAAAAAACAAAAATTTTTTTTTTTCTTATTTCCAAAATTAATATCTCAATTCATAGCTTCTTAAAAATGTATTTGCGGGTAGTCCTCGGCTTACGGCCGTTCGTTTAACAACAGCTTGAAGTTACAGCAACGCTGAAAAAGGGCCTTATGACTGCAGTGGTTGTAAGTGTGGAAAACGGTCGTAAGCAGGGCTTTTTTTTTTGTCATAGAACGCCCAGAACGGAGTTCCGGCACCTTTTTTGGATGGAACCTTGTAGGGTAGGCAAGGCGGGTTGTATGACACGTGTGAGTTCTGGCACCTTTTTTTTTTTTTTTTTTAGAAAAAAAGCACTGGTCATAAGTCACCTTTTTCAGTGCCGTTGTAACTTTGAACGGTCACTAAACGAACTTCTGTAAGTCGAGGACTGCCTGTGCAAAAATGACTAAGCACAATAATTGCATTACTATAATTTTCTACATACACTATCTTTGATTAATAATAACAACAACAACAGAGGTGGAAGGGACCTTAGAGGTCTTCTAGTCCAACCCCCTGCTCAGGCAGGAAACCCTATACCAGGGGTAGGCAACTTGGCTCTTTTATGACTCGTGGACTTCAACTCCCAGAATTCTGGGAGTTGAAGTCCACGAGTCATAAAAGGGCCATGGTTGCCTCCCCCTGATTTAGCCCAATGTTCTGACGTTGGGATAGATTACTGGACTTCAACTCCCAGAATTCCTGAGCCAGCCACGCTGAGGGAAAGGGAGAGATTTCCAAGCTGAGCCAGGCTGGCTCAGGAATTCTGGGAGTTGAAGTCCACGAGTCATAAAAGAGCCAAGGTTGCCTACACCATTTCAGACAAATGGCTGTCCAGTCTCTCCTTAAAAACTTCCAGTGTTGGAGCATTCACCACTTCTGGAGGCAGGTTGTTCCACTGATTAATTGTTCCCACTGTCAGAAAGTTTCTCCTTAGTTCCAGGTTGCTTCTCTCTTTGATTAGTTTCCATCCGTTGCTTCTTGTCCTGCCTTTCAGGCGCTTTGGAGAATCTATGATGCTTTATAGAGTACGAAAAGTAAAACCATTATTTCGCTTTTCTGCTTCAAGAAAGCTTAAAATCTCAGAGGAAAGACAGCTTGTACATTTGCTTCATTTTAGCTAAGAAAGAGGAATTTTGAGGAAATTTTCCTTCCCACCCACCACTGTAAATAAGAGAGATGGGTGGACTTGGGGATGGGTGTGCATAAAAGGCTTTCCGTTGCCCATGTTTTGCTTTTCCATCCTACACTTCCATCAGATGCCATCCTGCTGAACAACATCGTCCAAAACTTTGGCATGCTGGACCTGGTGAAGAAAGTTTTGGCCAGTCACAAGTGCCAAATGGACCGTTCCAGAAAGCAATACACGCGAGACTTAGCAGGTACCACCTCCTCTTCCTATTTCTCTCCTTGAGTTCTGTCACCTGGTAAGGGACAGGTAGTCCTCGGACTTACGACCTCAATTGAGCCCATTGCTAAGCAAGACAATTGTTAAGGGAGTCTTGCCCCATTTTACGAGTTTTCTTGCCACTGTTGTTAAATGGATCACTACAATTGTTAAGTTAGTAACATGGTGGTGAAGGGAACCCGACTTCCCCATTGACTTTGCTTGTCCGAAGGTCGCAAAAGGGGATCGCAGCAACCCCGGGACGCTGCGACCGTCATAAAGCCAGTTGCCAAGCGTCCAAATTTTGATGACGTGACCGAGGGGATCCTGCAAAAGTCTTTAAGTGTGAAAAATGGTCACAATTCACATTTTTTTCAGTGCTCTTGTAACTTTGAAAAGTTACAGATAGATGATAGATAGATAGATAGATAGATAGATAGATAGATAGATAGATAGATAGATAGATAGATGATAGATTAGATAGATAGATAGATAGATAGATAGATAGATAGATAGATAGATAGATAGATAGATAGATAGATAGATAGATAGATAGATAGATAGATGATAGATTAGATAGATGATAGATTAGATAGATAGATGGATGGATGATAGATAGATAGATAGATAGATAGATAGATAGATAGATAGATAGATAGATAGATAGATAGATAGATAGAATATGTGATTAGATAGACAGACAGACAGACAGATAGATAACCGTTATTATCATTTTTTTCCTATGGGCACAATGGCACACATTACAAATGAAATTTAGTTGCTTCCTCTCAAAGTGCCCAATTGGGGCTGCACGCACGAACACTTGCGTGAGTGGAGCTACGTGCGCATGTGCTCTCACCCGCTGCTTGCGGGGCCCGGTTCCAAATGGGCTGCGGCCTGGTAGTGGGCTGCAGCCCTGGGGTTGGGAGACCCCTGTCTTAGACGCTGTGCAGTGTAAGAGGGGAAGCCACGTCTGCTCTAGCCTTGCCCTTTGACTTTTGCCAACGTCCCGCCTGCTCCCCGTGGCCTTAATCTGTCTTCTCTCTCGCCCCTTCCCCTTTTCCATCCCCAGCTCTGGAGCAGCAGTGTGACGAGCACCGCAAGAGAGCCAAGGAGCTGAAGTACAAATCCCAGCATCTCAACAACGTGCTGATGACCTTGACGCCCGTCTCCATCCCCTCCCCTCTCAAACGCCCCCGGCTGACCCGGGCCACATCAGGACCGCCGGCCATAACCTCCCAACTCCTGACTCAGTCGGCCCAGATCGCCCTGGCTCCAGGCGTGCCGGTCACCCAGCTGGCCGGTTTGCCCATCGGCAAAGTCGTCTCCGCCCTGCCGGCGTCTGCTCTGGCCAAGGCCACCGCCCAGGTGACGTCAGCCGGCTCTCCCATCTCCTCGCTGCTGGGCGGGTACACCATCTTGGCGTCGGCGGGCTCCGCCTTCCCCAACACGGTGGAAATCCACCCGGAGGCCTCCAACCTCACCGTCTTGAGCACCGCGGCCATCCAGGACAGCAGCACGGTGGTCAAAGTGGTGAGCCCTTTCCAGCTGCTCACCCTGCCAGGGCTGGGCACGGCCATCCAGAACGTGACACAGGTGTCTCCCGGCGGCAGCACCATTGTGGCGGTGCCCTCCAGCTTGATGGAAGCCGCTTCGGCCACGGAGGAACACACAACCATTGAGGTGACCACCGTAGCAGACGAGCCTCAGCAGAAATGAAAACGCGGACGTTGGGTCCAATTTTTTGCGGGGGGGGGACAGTGCTCCGGGCTTACGGGCCCCGTCCCTTGGAGGAGAAGACGGCGAAGACGAAGAAGAAGAGAGTGCTGGGAAAAAAAAGGAGGGGAAAACGGATCAGCTGATGGAGGAACAGGGAGGTTGAAATCTTAACCGGGAAGAAAGAGGAAGAGAGAGCCCCAAACGAAGGGAGAAGGGCACTGAAGCGGCGGGAAAAAACACCTCTGTTCCTGGGATCCATTTTACAGGCTCTCATCTTTGCACCCCCCAGCTTGTAAGCGCTCCCCCCCATCTCTAGCCAGCTCTGGGGAACCGAGGCAGCTGAGACAGGTTTTCAAAGAACGAAACAATTCACCCAAACCAGGCAGGCCAAAAGATTAGGCAGCCAGACAGGCATATTTTAAACGTTTCAGGGCTGGCAAGAAGGGGGTGTGTGTGTGGAGGGGGGGTCCCAGTACCAAGCAGTTGCCTGAATGTTTGGTTAGGGGGCCGATGGACTGTTTCTCTGCCAGAATGGAGGCGGAGAAAGAATCTGGCATTGGCCCCTGGGGTGAAATGTAGAAGGAGCCCTGTTGCGCTTTGCCAAAAGGCGCAGGGGACGGGGAATAGCGGCTTGGGAAAAAAAAACACGGGAAAGTCCCGTGAGGAAGCCGGAGGCTTGAAAGGGAGACCGGGGTGGGGGGGACTTCGGTGAAGGGCAGATCCATTCTCAACTTAAAAGAGCTTCTATTTGATGAGCCTCCCCCCATCTCCCCCCCCAGCTTGCATCTCAGCCCCAAAGCATTCAAGAGGAAGGCCCTGGCCAAACTGCTGAAGGAGTTGGGGTTCCCCCCCAAGCGGATCTGTCCTTCACGGCTACCCAGCCTTATCCTCCCCACCCCCCCATCCCGTGTAGCGGTAGGCCACCTTGGCTCTTTTATGACTCGTGGACTTCAACTCCCAGAATTCCTGAGCCAGCCACGCTGAGGGGAAAGGGAGAGGTTTCCAAGCTGAGCCATGCTGCCTCAGGAATTCTGGGAGTTGAAGTTCATGAGTCAGAAAGTGGCCTAGGCCTAGGCCAGAGGTAGGCAACCTTGGCTCTTTTATGACTCGTGGACTTCAACTCCCAGAATTCCTGAGCCAGCCACGCTGAGGGGAAAGGGAGAGGTTTCCAAGCTGAGCCAAGCTGCCTCAGGAATTCTGGGAGTTGAAGTCCACGAGTCATGAGGGGGCCATAGTTCCCCCATGCTGGCTCAGGAATTCTGGGAGTTGAAGTCCACCAGTCATGAGGGGGCCATAGTTCCCCCATGCTGGCTCAGGAATTCTGGGAGTTGAAGTCCACGAGTCATAAAAGAGCCAAGGTTGCCTATCCCTGCCGAAATGCCTGAATTTTGATCACGTGACCGTGAGGAGAAAATATTTAAATATTTAAACCAGGGGTCTTCAAACTTGGCTCTTTTGTGACTGGTGGACTTCAACTCCCAGAATTCCTGAGCCAGCCACGCTGAGGAGAAAGGGAAAGGTTTCCAAGCTGCGCCATGGCTGGCTCAGGAATTCTGGGAGTTGGAGTCCACACATTAAAGTTGTTGAGGTGGAGAAACAATGGACTAAGCCAGGGGTAGGCCACCTTGGCTCTTTTACAACTCGTGGACTTCAACTCCCAGAATTCCTGAGCCAGCACGGCTTAGCTTGGAAACCTCTCCCTTTCCCCTCAGCGTGGCTGGCTCAGGAATTCTGAGAGTTGAAGTCCATGAGTCATAAAAGAGCCAAGGTGGCCTACCCATGCCCCAGTGCATCAGCACTTTAGGCTGCAAAAGAGTTTTTGCCCAAAAAAAAAAAAAAGGCCGATGAAGGGGAGCTCCTGCTTGTTCCAGCTGACTTGAGGGACTTGAGGAGACTTGAGGGTGTGGGGAGAAGAAGTCCTCGGGAGAAGAAGCATCTCCTGTCGGAAGCTGCGAGTGCCCGGATTCTCACCCGGGTGAGTTTTGGGCCTATCGGAAGCGGCGGAATCAAGTCTGTTGGATAACATTAAAATCTGTTTTTCAAGCTCGCCTTGTGCTCGTGGGTCCTTGCCCCGTTCCCGTGCAGTGTGCACAGAGGTTTGGCCATTTTAAGCTCCAGCAGGGTTGTCTGAACTTTTTTCTCCAAGCTGGGTTGAAATTTGTGGTTTGTAATCCACCCAAAGGTGTGTGTTTGTGTGTGTGTGGGGGGGGTGTTTGGTCTCTTTTTTTTTTTTTCAGGAGGCAACTGAACTTTCTTGTGTTTGTTTTGAAGACGTTTCGCTTCTCCTCCAAGAGGCTTCTTCAGCTCTGACTGGATGGTGGGGAATGGAAAGATTTATACTCCTTGCAGACAGCTGGTCATTTGCATTCCTTTAGAGCAGGGGTGTCAGACTCAATTTAATTGAGGGCTGCATCAGCATTGCGGTTGCCCTGGGGGGGGATGGGTGTGTGTGGCCTGGGTGGGCGTGGATGGAGTAGGTGTGGCCTACTGGGTGGGCGTGGCCAGCTCTACATCAAGGGTGCCTGTGGGGGCCTGGGCAGGAGTGGGACAGATCTGAGGGTCTCTGGCAGAAGGGGGTGGGATCGGGGCAAGCACCAAGGCATGGTCCATTTCTTCATTCCTCACAAAGGGGGACCCCTCCCCAGCATGCACCCAGGGGGTGGGGCGGACGCGGCAGGGGCTGGTTCCTCGCTGTTTCCAGACGGCCTTGTGGAGCTAAGACTGAATGCGTTTCAGCATAGATGGCCACCACAAAATTGTACATTGGCTCCCGGGTGGTCTGGGCCAGGGCCAAGGCAGCGGGGCCATTCCCTCACTGTTTCCAGGATGGCTTCGCAGGCCGCATCCGGCCCCCGGGCCTTGTGTTTGACATGTCTGCTTTAGAGAGTCGTTGAGGCCACCTGGAGGTTTACCTGTGTCCTCAGGGTCACCTGAGTGGTGCAAATGAGCATGGAGACCTTTTGGAACTGTTGAAAGGACTATATTGTAGACTCCATGTGGCGTCAATGACTCTCTAAAAGAGGGGAGCTCCCCTCCCTCGCTGCATTTCTTGCCTGTTTGCTGCTGCCAGCACAGCTGGCTGCCACAGCAGTTGTAGATCGGCTCATGGCCAGCCTGCTTGATCCTCCTCCTCTACCGGGCGGGCAGGCAGGAGTCTTGCTCGGCTGTGGCTTGGGGGGGCACTTTTTTCAGTGGCATTGTAACTTTGAACAGTCACTAAGCGATCTGTTGTAAGTCGAGGACTACCTGTACTTTATCACTTTTTTCCTCTTTTTTTTTTTTGGTCATCAAGTTTTTGACACCTTGCTGGTGGTCCTCGGATGTTGCCATATCCTAAAAGTGGTACAATGGGTGAAAAGGTTGAAAAGCCATGCCTTAGTGGGTCGGGGAGGCCTTAGGGGCCTGTTCCATCGCTAGGCCCTCCCTGGCCTTCCCCACCCTGAGATACCTCATGTTCACTTAACGAGCCCTGTGCGTCTTAACAAGCAAGATACGAGATTCACTCTACGAGTTTTCGAGTTACGAGTGGAATGGGCAGGCTCCATTCCGCTCGTAACTCGAGGACTACCTGTATTAGAGACGTGGTATTAAGGGGAAACTTCCTGACAGTGAGGACAATCAACCAGTGGAACAGCTGGCCACCAGAAATCGTGGGCACTCCATCACTGGAGATTTTTAAGAAGAGACTAGACAGTCACCTGTCTGAGATGGTATAGGTTCTCCTGCTTGAGCGGGGGGAGCTCCATTCCATTCCTGTAAGTGAGGAACATCTGTCCGATTTCCCAACCTTGGAACTTTAGGACCTGTGGATTCCAGAATTCCCCTGCTGGCTGGGCAATTCTGGAAGTTGCAGTCCAGGGGTCCTAAAATTGCCAAGGTTGGAAAACCCAATATCCAAGGTAAGATTTAACTTACCTTGGATATTGAGACCTCTGCTGTACAGAGTTTTAATGCAGTTAGTCCTCAGCTTACAATCACAATTGGGACCAAACATTGCCATTGCTGAGCAAGGCAGTTCCATGAGTCACACCTGATTTGGTGACCTTTTTTGCCACCGCTGTGAAGCAATTCCCTGCAGTTGTTAGGTGAGTTTGGCTTCCCCCGTTGGCTGTCAGAAGCCAGCTGGGAAGGTCGCATAGGGTGATCATGTGACCCTCCGAGATGCTGCAGCCATCATAAATTGGGGGATTGTTGTTTGCAACCTGGCTAGCGAGCTTCTGACAAAGTCAACGGGGTAAGACCGATTTTCTTAACTGCTTGATTCACTTAACAACTGCAGTAATTCGCTTAACTGTGGCAAAAGTCACAAAATGGGGCATGTTTCACTTAATGCCCTACTTAGCAATGCAGATTTGGGGCCCAGTGACAGTCATAAACCGAGAACTAATTGTACTCTTTGCTTTTTACTTTAATCAGATTGAGTTACTATCTACACACCGGTGTCCTTTAGCTTACCAATTTAGGCTGGGGAACTTTCTTTTTTTTTTCACTTCCCGTTTTCTTCCTCCGTGTCTTCTCGGCCTCTCACCACTTACAATCTCACACATTCAGATGAAATGAAGATTTATTTTCATAAAATTAATACTTGGTCCAAATGGCGCTCTCTTCTCCGGCAGCCATTAGGTGGGGATAGAGAGGTATTAGAAAGCATTATGATTTTTTTTAAAAAAAGAACCGCAAATAGTTTCTGAATGAATTTTTTAAAAATCCCAGCATTAACAGGCGAATCACGCCGTCAAATTATTGAGCAGAAAATTCTTTTTCAGGGCTGATATGAAGGAAAGCAGAATGGGATAGAATGGGATGGGATGGGATGGGATGGGATGGGATAGGATAGAATAGAATAGAATAGAATAGAATAGAATAGAATAGAATAGAATATAGAACAGAAAAGAACAGAATAGAATAGAACAGTGATGGCGAACCTTTTAAAGACTGAGTGCCCAAACTGCAACGCAAAACCCACTTATGCAGCGTCGAGTGCCGGGTGGGTGTGGCCC